CTTCAGTTTGTCGGCCAGCTCGGTCAATTTCTGCTGGTTGAGGCCTCCGACTGACGCGCCTTCCTGGTGGAGGCCCTCGAGCAGGCCTGCAAACGCCGCGACGCCGACGGCACCGATCTTCGCCATCTCCGCGTCGATCTGGCCCGTCGCAGTGGAGCTGCGGATCCCCTCGGCCTTCTTGACCCACGCTCGGACTCGAGAACGGATCGCCACCACGCTCTTGGTGCCAGGGAAGATGAGGTACGTCCTGATCAGGATGGCGTCGGTCTGGCGCTGCTTCAACGCGACGCTGAGAAGCAGCTTCATCACGATGGGGAACATCCGCTGGATATCCTTCAGGTCCATCTCGTCCAGCGTGAGCTCGTCTAGGTTCACCTGATTGTTCGATCCATTCTGCTGGCCTCCACGAGCTGTTCCTGGTTGTCGGCGGATCTTCCGTGGCTGTGGCGCATCTGCTGCAGCACCTCCTGCGGGCTCTCCACCGCTGGGTAGTGAGTTCGCCCGCGACATGGGGGCGCGGGGTCGGTAGGTGCGCGGTGGCAACGTGCGTTTGGAGCTCGCTCAAATCGGGGAAGGTGAGCTCGCAGTCGATACTCGGGCAAAGCGGCTGCGGTGGACCTTGCGCCTCGAAGTTAAAGACAGATCGATGTTTAAGGCATTGACCAGACCGATAAGCAGCAGCAAGGTGGTTAATCGCGGTCTGTCGACTAGTGATGGTCGGTCGGCAGTTCGGGCATTGGTTAGTAATCGTGAATCGTGAATGTTCGCATATACGACCATGTTCGCCACCCTCCCCGCTCATCGTTTGGTGCACCCGGAGGGCTTGTTTTGTCTCGGCCGCAAACAGACATATCGCACCATCATCACAGAGCAGGCCGCACGTGCGAGGGCAACTCCAGCTGACGGTTGCATATGGAGCTCTGCGTGCTGGGGCGGGCTGTTCCAGCCACCACTTGCGTATACTTGCCACCGCGAGCTTGATGAACACGTCTCTGCCCGCGGTAGGTCGAAACATATCCAGTAAGTCATCGCCCATGACGTCGGGACTGGCACGGCCGTCGGCGAAGACCTGCAGCAATTGCATGTCGTCCATGAACTGCTTCCTCCACGGGTTCTCCTTGTGGGCGGCGTCGCCAGTGGGTCGGACTGGCGCCCAGGGAAGTTCCAGGGCCTGGTTGATTTCGCACGTCAGCGGCCCAAAAACAATAGCAACTAATTGCGCATGATGCGACGGTTCTCGAGCAACTCGCTGCCATATCTTGATTCGAATAATCTGGATATCCATCGACGGAGGGACCATCTTCAACTTGTTCCACACTGCGTGCGAAGAAATATTGCGGACCAGCTCGGTAGTTGCGCGCGGGTCGGCGTCGTCGACGGACTGCTTGATATATGCTGCGCCTTGGAGGAGTGCTCGGGCGCATCGGGCGACACAGGCGTCGATCTGAGCTAGCTGCGCTTTGGGGAGGACGCGGGCTTCGAGCCCAGAGACAGCGGCTGAATGAACTTGGCGTCTGGAAACTAGCTTCCGTCGTCCCAGTCGCCTGCAGTTATGCCAGAAGCGCCCCATGCACCTCCAACCGCGAGCAACAGCTGCACATCGTGCGCGTACCTCGGCATGATTCAGGCCGTTAGCTTGCATGATGGAGCCGAGGAAGAGCGTAGATGAGTGTACTTCGCCGTCAATGAGCATTTCTCCATAATGTAGTGCCCGTGCATATCGATGGCCTCCAGGTCCGATGAAGGTCGGGAGTGCCGCTTTCTTGCCTACGCTCTGCTGTAGTCCAATAGTTGCTCAACTTCTCGTTGTGGATCGCGTCAGAGTTGTGGACCCTGTAGGCGGCCATCTGCGCGTCCGTGCACAGGCGGGTCTTGGCGAGGTCGTCGGCGCACTTGCGCACGCTGAGGTCGACGTTGGCGCCCGGGAACTCGCAGCCCGCGACAAGGGAGGAGGACGTGTCCGCGGCGATCGAGGTGCTCCAGTCATTGGTAGGCGGCTTGAACGACACGCGGAACTTGATGGCAGCGCCGGCGTCACCCATGAAGCAGCCGACGTGGTTCTGGCAACGCTGGGAGCTGATGCCGTCGCTGATGACACAGGCTGCCCTTCGGTGTCGTCCTTTCATGATCGCGCAGTCGCCAGGGAGGTAGATCTGGTCGACAGCGTCGTCCAAGTTCGGGTGGGCGACGGAGGCAAACGCGTTCGTCATGTCGTGCTTGGTGGTGATGTGGCTCTTGCGAATGCGTTTGAGGCGCCATTGGAGTGCCAGTCATACTGTAATAGCTTCTGATCTCGATCTGGCACGCGCGCACCCGCGCTCGGTATCGCCCAGGGGCGCGGCGGTCATAATCTGCCTCGATGAAACCCAGCATTTGCCAAAAGGGCATAGTCCATGCAGTAGCCGTGCGCCTCGGGTTCGCGGCTTGTTATTCATCTTGCTCACCTGGTAGGTCTGTGAGAGGTTCCACCATGCATTCAGTCGCTGGTGTCGCCGAACTGCTGCCAGTTGTGTGAGTATAGCGTCGCCCAGGAGGGGCCCAGGGAATCGCATCGAGGGGCCGTACTCATGCCAGCCGTTATTCTTCTGATCTTCGCTGCGGTCCACAAGAAGGAGTGCCCACACATCAGGTGGGAGTGACCATTCAGGTGCTGCTCGTCGTCGTTTGCAATGCTTTCGTAGTCGTCTCTGTATAGATGCCATGTCGCATTGGGCATGTAGCCATTGATGAGCCGAAGGGCAGAAACGTTCGTCATGTTCAGCTGCGCTGCTGATGAAGTCGTGGAGGTCGATAGGTGTGGATTCCATGCCACCTTCAGCGCCTGGTAGTGCCACATCTTCTGTCCATGTTTTGGTCGAGGGCCGTGCATCAGGCAGGTCGAAATAACAGCGCCTTCCAGGTCCTTTGCCGTTCCCAGCAAGACGACGGCAAGCGCGCCATGCCTCGGCTTCAAGACCAGCTTCTTCAGCTTGTTGAAGTTCCTGGAAGTGTTGTTCATCCTTGTGGTCGCGTAGTCGTCGTCGTAGTAGTTTGCATTCCGAACTACATCGTCGGAGTGCCAACGTGCTCTCAAGGTCGTCGGTCGAGCTCTGCCTTGCAAGTGTTCGCGCATGTTGGGTCTGTCTGCGTTGTAATGCAAGTTGCTGATATTCGCGGTCCATAGTAGGTGTTTCGGCTTCGAACTGTTCGAGCGCTCTTGCGCGGATAACTGCCATGATATGCTGCCATCCGCCTTCCATCGTACGCTTGTCTGCCCATTCCGCCATATCTCTGTATCCGTACTCATGTATGATGCTCGTTAGGCCTTTCTCGATGTCATCGCGGAGCTGCTTCGCCCACCAATAGTACCCCTCGCCGTGCGAGGCTAGAAAGACCCGAGTGAAGTCCCACTGCGGAATCGCCTTGGGCTTGTCGTACGTAAGAGTGCAGCCCACGTCGATATACAACATCATGTGATCGAGAAGCCGTTGTGATGGGAATGCACGGAGTCGCTTAGTGACTCGGTAGGCGATGTTGCGTCTGCGAACACGGGGAAGGTAACGGATCGGCATCACGATGTAGTCGATATACCTGGTGTGACCTCGGAGTCCGTAGCACGTCGGGCCGCACTGGTGGTGAGTGTCGGCAGCCAAAGGGCGTAGTCCTTCAGGAGTTCGTGGAAGGCGTCGCCTGCATAGTGCTGTTTGCCACTGGCGAATGCCCCTATCGTAGCATCTTCGTCCCCATTGGCGATGTCGCGCTTGAGGCCATCGTTCAGGTCCGTACCGCTGAATACGCAGGTGCGGTTCGGCAGGCTGGCGAGGATATCATGCAGGTGGGCGATGATTTTGTCCACGATAACTTCGTTCTTGGTCGCTGTAGTGTGGCGTAGAGCGCGGGGTGGAAAGTACGCTGTGATGAATGTGTAGTCGAACTGGGAGCTTTTGACACGCACCGCACCCACTCTGCCACGAATCGCCGCAGGCGTTTGCCATACTTTCACCATATGAAATTTCCTGAACCATCGTCTGCTGAACCAGATCTCCGTACCACATGATTTGTTGCCCGTGGCGTTCTTGTTGCATCGGTGCCAGCCGAACTTTAGCATGAGGAACTCAGTCGTTGAGTGTGTCATAGGCGTCGATGGTCTTGGTCTGGGTGCCAGAGAACAATACCGCATCCACATGTTGTAATTCTCGTGAAACCTCGAGGCGCTTGTCATAATCTTGCAGATGCATCGGATTCCATGCTACAAGCCGCATGTGAGCCGTCAGTGTGTGACATAAGAGCCCGGATTGCAGGACGTTGGGCATAGCGTCCCCGCTCTGGAAACCACGGTAGCTCGAGCCAGAGCTATATATATGTGTATGTATGTGTGTATATGTATATGTATGTATCACATATACGAACACGCAACGGACAAATCCAAGAAAACGCCCAGCCAGGGTCCAGTTCAGAATCTTGATATTCGCAAGCGACATCTGGAGTCTACGAACGTTGCTGCTTTTGTTTGAGATTTCCGATGGGTGTACTCCTTCCCCACCTCCCATCTCCATAAGCAGGCCTTCCCAGCACCATCTTGCCAATCTTGGTGCCCCAGGGGCGGGCGCGGGCCCGGGGCCTCTCCGATCTCGCAGGGCACGACGAGCGATCCGAAACGGTCGAGCTGCCTGACAGATGGCCGTTCCCAAGCCACGCGAACGAGGACGAGGACGAAGACGACGTCGAGGACGTCGACGACGACGACGACGACGACGACAACGACGAACGGCGATGACGTCGGGAGCAAACTCTCTCTCTCTCTCTCACACACACAAAACGGTCATGGGCCCTTGTGCCGTCGCATCTCCCCCCTGCGCGGCCCGCCGCGCGTCGGCCCACACGCCCGTCCAGGAAGATGAGGACGATAATGATACGCTCGAGGCGCACCGAGTATCGGGACGGTGGTAATGGGGGATGACCTGCAGGGGGGATGAAGAGAAGGGCCTCTTGAGGGCCCTTGTCTTCACCGCCCATTCAGGTCACCCCCCGTCACCGCCCGCCCGAGAGTACTTGTGCCTGACGTGCTCGCTCAGCATCTGCAGGTAGTCCATCGAGTGGCTCAGTCGCTCGTTGAGCAGCGAGGTGCGGCGCCGCACGTCGAAGTGGGCCACCACCTGGTCGTACAGCCGCTCCGCGAGCGCCTGCTCCCACAGCAGGTCTGGGGCATCCAGCAGACCAGCCTCCGAGTTCAGCTCAAAGCGCACGTCGTGCAGGCCCTTCTCCGTCTCGAAGATCTTGTGGGAGATGGTGCTCAGGTTCCAGTGCGGGAGGCTGGTGGTGTGCATGTCCCGCCAGGTGGACTCCAGCCTGGGCTCGATCCGCCGTTCCTCGGCGGCTGCACGCGCACGCATCCTCCGACATGCAAGGGGCGCATGGGAAGGAAAGGTGGACGAGACAGTAAGTCTCAGCGCTGATATGCGTGGCGCGTACCCCAATACAGCTCAACTCAGCGCGACACCGGGAACGTCGAGGAAGTACTCGGCCCGCGGACACGCGCGATGATGCACACTGATATGCGACTGCCGTGTGTAGTAGGACATGTGCGCACGCGCGTACGTCTATGGGTTAAGGAAGACGTACATCGCGCACACACGACATACACGCGCGCGAATGTCTACACATTTTGATACATCAGCACAATATCATACAGACATTTTGAGAGTGCACCGCACTTATACAAAAGCGCCACCGTGCATGCAGATATACACACATGTCTTGGGCCACACGGTCTCTGCGACATCGGGCCTCGAGGTCCAGCAGGTGTCTATAGATACGTAGTGCATCCCCCAATGCCTGAAGATGCCCAATTCCCCGATGCCTAAAGATCTAATGGGTGGGTAACCCGAAGATAGGTTTGGTGGCCGCCCCGTGGCCGCCCGCGGCCGCCCCGTGGACGCACGTGCCCACCCGTGGCCGCCCGTCACCGTCCCGTGGCCGCCCGTGGCCGCCCCGTGGCCGCCCGCGGCCGCCCAGCACGCACCGCGTAGATTGCACCACGCAACTTGCACCACAGCTTGCACCACATCCCTTCCACTGCGTGGCCGCCCCGTGTGCGCTGGGTGTGTCCGGCGGGGGTTCGCCATGTTGCCGCCCGTGGCCGCGTCGTGGCCGCCTCGTCCTCCCGTGGCCGCTTCGTGGCCGCCTCGTGCGCTGGGTGGGTCCGGCGAGGTTTCGCCACGTTGCCGCCGATGGCCGCCCCTGCCTTGCACCACGTGTCTGCACCGCATATCAAATGTTCGCCATGCCGCCGCCTCGTGGCTCACACAACATGGCTTTCACCGCGTGGTCCCACCAGCCCTTGCGTAAGTGGTTTGGAGCCTAATTTAGTACCCCCGCCTCGTTGGTCGATGTCCTCTAAGGTGGCCCCAAGGTGGCTCCCCCAAGGCCCCCAAGAGTGCCGCAAGAGGGCACCCAGAAGGCCCGAAGAGGCCCCCAAGAGGTCCCCAAGAAGCTCTCAAGAGAGCCCCAAGAGGCCTCAAGAGGCTCCCCCGAGGCACCTTAGACGCTCCAAGAGACCCCCAAGGCAGCCAAGAAGCCCCAAACACGCCCCGAGAAGACTCCAAAAAGCTCTCAAGAAATATCCGAAGAGAGTCCAAGAGGCATCCGATTGGTTTATTGCCTCTATGCTCGCAGTCCTTCTCCTCCTCCTCCTCCTCCTCCTCCTCCTCCTCCTCCTCCTCCTCCTCCACCTCCCCTTGCTCCGCCTCCTCCTTTTCCTCCTCCTCCTCCTCCTCCTCCTCCTCCTCCTCCTCCTCCTCCTCCTCCTCCTCCTCCTCCTCCTCCTCCTCTTCCCTCATCCGCCCTCCTCCTCCTCCTCCTCTCCTCCTCCTCCTCCTCCTCCTCCTCCTCCTCCTCCTCCCCTCCTCCTCCTCCTCTCCTCCTCCTCCTCCTCCTCCTCCTCCTCCTCCTCATCCCCCCAGCCCTTTCCCCCCCCCCTCCCCCTCCTCCTCCTCCTCCTCCTCCTCCTCCTCCTCTTCTCTCCTCCTCCTCCTCCTCCTCCTCCTCCTCCTCTCCCCTCATCATCATCATCATCATCATCATCATCATCATCAGCATCATCATCATCATCATCATCAAAATCGTCATCACCATCATCATCATCATCATCATCAGCATCATCATCATCATAATCGTCATCGTCATCATCATCCTCCTCATCCTCATCCTCATCCTCATCCTCATCCCCATCCCCATCCCCATCCTCATCCCTATCCTCCTCCTCCGACTTCAACTCCGACTCTGACTCCGACTCCGACTCCGACTCTGACTCATCATCCTCTATGATCCGCGTCTTGGTGTATGACGGCTTCCCCAGCGGTTTCTTTCATTGCTTGCTCCTCCACATCCCCGATCAGGGAAAGTCGCCTGGGCATCGTTACTAGATAGGCTGGTGGGGCTACTTTTTTTTGATCTGCGGCTCCAAAGACGATTCCAGAGAGCGGGTCGAAACAAGTTTGGGGCAACAAGCGAGATAATTGCCAGCGGGCCAAAAGCCAACGCCGGAATGCACATGCGAGGAACAAAATGAGCCCCATTAAGCCGATCCAAAACGGCAGCCGACGACGGACAGCGGGGCGTCGCACAGTGGCGCCAGCACCCGACAGACCGGACGGCGAAGGGCAGGGCACAGCGAGCAGCTGAAACCCAGGCAGAAGCCCGCCCGTGAGTGCAACGAAGGATAGCAAAACCACGTAAGCCTCACTCACAAACACCTCATGTGCTCGAAGCTTGGTCTTCACAGAACCAGGCGCCAGCGGACTTGACGTGAAGTCGAGTAGAAACAACAATGCACAGGGGGGGGCGTCACGTGGGCCAGAACGTTACCACCAACCGTCGGCTGTGAACTGCCGGTGAGCGAAAGAATTAGAGCCGCCTGCCGCCTTGCACCACTGGAGTCCGAACCAAGGAGCCCTCCAGAGGAGGTCGACGTCGCTGGCGAGCTGTTGGCGGGACGCCAGACCGGTGAGCACGTCCCTGCCAGACTGCGCCCCAGGTGCAGGAAGCCGGTGTGCCCGACCTGCCAGTGCCACAATGAGCGCACCCTATTGCGTGAGAACGAACACGTCGAAGGGCCCGCCACTGCAGTCGTCGTGAAAGAAGAGGGGGGGCGCAGCCGATAGCCGCAAATCGGTTGAAAACAAAGGAGGAGGGGGAGAGCCAAGTGGCGACACAGACAGTCGAGGACCCAACATGGCGTAGTCAGAGCAAGGTCACCAGTCGTCGGATGTGCAGCGTGTGGAGCGTATGGGGCGAGCCCTAGGCCTGCGGCCCCAGCCATCCAAAGTGAGTGCCCAAGCGGGCAGACGGGCCCATGTCCGTGTGAACAAGGCCAAAGTGAACCGCGGGCAGGAATTATTGCAGCCACTACCACACGGACTAAGAACCCACGATGCACCGTGGGAGTCTAGACGGAGTGTTGTGAGAGGTGCACCTCACCCCCAGGAGGTGACACGAGTGCATTAAGGCCAAGGCCTGTCACTGCGGTGAAACGAGCCCCTGTCGTGAAGGAGCCACCCCGTCGGCGGTGGCCCGTGGGGGCAGCTGTCAGTGTAGTCTCCGGGCGCCAGCGGACTTGACGCGCCAGTGCCACAATGAGCGCACCCTATTGCGCGAGAACGAACACGTCGAAGGGCCCGCCACTGCAGTCGTCGCGAAGGAAGAGGGGGGGGGGCAGCCGATAGCCGCAAATCAAAGGAGGAGGAAGAGGAGAGCCATGTGGCGACACAGACAGTCGAGGACCCAACATGGCGCAATCGGAATGCAATCAGCGGAAGGCGCCTGCCTGGTGGGGGGGAACGCCACCAGAGCAAGGTCACCAGTCGTCGGATGTGCAGCGCGTGGAGCGTATGGGGCGGGCCTTAGGCCTGCGGCCCCAGCCATCCAAAGTGAGTGCCCAAGCGGGCGAGACGGGCCCATGTCCGTGTGAACAAGGCCAAAATGAACCGCGGGCAGGAATTATCGCAGCAATTACCACACGGACTAAGAACCTACGATGCACCGTTGGAGTCTAGACGTCGTGTTGTGAGAGGTGCACCTCACCCCCAGGAGGTGACACGAGTGCATTAAGGCCAAGGCCTGTCACTGCGGTGAAACGAGCCCCTGTCGTGAAGGAGCCACCCCGTCGGCGGTGGCCTGTGGGGGCAGCTGTCAGCGTAGTCTTCCGCCCCCACCAAATGCGTGCCTGTGTGCAGCAAAGGGGCGATCGAGGACCATTGGGCTGCCAACCCATAGGCCTCCGTTGGGCACGGAAGGGTCCCATATGGCCCACTGCGTCAGCGCGATGGAGACCACGTTATATAGGGAGGTGGATGCTGTCCCAAGCTGTCCGAGGTCACTGTTGTCCAGAAAGCATGAGTTGCGTTCCGAGACGGGCAGAGTAGCGACCCTGAGTGTCGTCATGGGGGGAAAAGTGGCCTCAGCCGCAGACGAGCTTCGTGGAGCGTTCTTGAGAGAGCAGGGGAGGGCAAGAGCAGGGAGAGCGCGCTGGAGCCCTAGCCGACTGCCCCTCGACGATGGGGCTGCCTTCCTGGGCCTGGGGAAATGGAGGAGACAACGTACCTTTTGGATAGACCAGGCGAGCTCACTTGCGGGCAGAGTCCCGTCCACGCTGTCGTTTGTCAGCATAGTGAGCGTCTCCTCTGGGGGCAGTTCGTTTCTCCCTGGCCCTCCAGTCTGTGTCGGCCCACGTGCCCTGCCGGCGGCCCCACCCATCCCAGGACTGCCATGAATCCCATTGGGCGGCTGAACTGGATGCGCCTGTCTGTGTGGCAACTCTGTAGTCGGCGCACAGCGGGGGGGAACATGTGGCCTCTTTTGGTTTGCTCCATGGGCGCCGGCGATCATCTCCACTGGGCCCACCTGAGGCAGCTGCTTGCGTGGCGTCTCTGTCACCGGCGGGTACTGGGGGGGAACCTGGCGCAACATTGCCACCGTCAGCCCATGAATACGGGCGACCGCCTCCACTGGGACCTTCGGGGGTACGGGTTTTGGTGTCGCGTTGTAACTTCTTGCGCTGCTTGTCCATAATGGTTGGCCATTCTACGTGGAGCTGGTGCTCATCGTCCACCTTGTGGGCGTCGAAACCTGCTTTGTTCCATGCCTGGAGGAAGTCTTCGCATTGCTGTAACGAATTCTTCCTGGGGTCGGACTTGATGTTGACCCATGCACCCCCTTGCGTGTTGCCTGCCTTACGGACCCAGGCGGTCCAGATCCCGTTGAAGGCGTCTCCCAGCGTCTTCTGTAGTCTGATGATCTTGTCTGGTGCTGGTTCGTCCTTATTAGTATCTGCTTCGTTGATAGGCTTCAAGTACATGGGGAGACCGCCCATGGGGTCATCTGGGCGTGCTGGTGG